GATGTAGTCTGTAAGTTAATTAACTAAGGGGCAGATCTGATCATCCAAACCATGACAATTTTTTTTTTTTTTTTTTGAACAGCAAAACATCAATATTATTGACAAAAGAATACAACGGGTTATCAACCATGTGCTCGATACAAAACAATAAAGGATAGTTTTCCTCCCTTGCTTACATAATTACAACCTTGCTTGAAATAAGACTGTAGAAACCTTCTTCCTAGATACCACGCATTGCCTTAGATTGTGACACCAATCGGTGAAAGAATATGGCCATGTTTCCACCCTTTCGCTTAGCCATACAAAAGATCTAATTTGTACTAGGTCCAACATTTGATCCAAGTTAGTATCAATATTATTAAATACTTTCTCGTTTCTTGCAAGCCATAAAGACCAGCATAATGCAAACCAGATCAAGCCATGACATTGAAATTAATGAAAATATTAAGTGGCAAAAATTTCATATCTTTTGATATAAGATGAGTTACCACACCTTTCACAAATGGTGTTAGGCCTCCTTTTCCCATAAAATTAAACCACTGTTCATCTTACCATCAATATATATGATTCTAAACTCAAGTTATATACTATTGTAACTAAAACTATATAACTCTTAAAAATTTTATAATTAAAGTCGTTATATCAAAATAAATGCTTCAGTAGGTGATCAATCACTCAATGTCATAAAAACATACATTAGTTCAAGATAAATTGTACTTTGAGGAAGATTGAATCAAAACTTGCATTTATCAAAAATTAATCTCATGATATTGAAAGGGGAGACTTGAAATTATGCTATGAAAAAAAAGAAGAAAAACAAGGAACCCATAATGAGAAATTAACAAGAAGAAATAAACCAAAAAAATGCCCATCTTCACATAGCCAAACCAGAAAGCAGTTATGTGTGCTTTTCAGACCTCACAACTCCCACACACAAACCTAACTTTGCCCAAATTGATCCCATTAGCACGTGCCATCCATTGCACGCGTGTGGGCTTTCTTTTTTTAATAAATCCTTCTTTTGCCTTTGTATCTGCTTTCTCATCTCCTGCCCCCATCTATCCAATATTTGGGCGTATATGTTATTAATGCAAATAATAATAATAATGGAATGACCAATTTACCCTCACCAACTATTGCCTTTACAAGATAGGAATAATGATTAACTAGGTCGTTTTCGTCTTTTGGACATGCCCATAGGATGGTGGTAGTTTGGGTCATTGAGATGACTTTGTACTGACCTTATCTTTATTTTATTCAGTAGTTTGCGTTAGTTTACAGGGGACGTGTATTAAAATGACAATTATAGCCGACATTTTCAAAATATTTTTTTACTCCATTTTACCCTAAAGTGAAAAAATAAAAGTAGAATAGATATTAGCTTATGGGTCTTCTTTTTTCTCTATATTTTTTTTATCCATTATACCCTGCGATAAAAAAAATAAAAGTAAAATACTTATAAGGATATAGGTTTCTTTTTTCTCCCTAGATTGTGGAGGCTAATTATATTAGAAAACAAAATTTTATATTTATAATGTTTTAAAAAGTACAATATTTTACATAATATAATATGATATTTTTATTTGCTTTTTTTTCTTAAAAAATATTTGAAAATCAGTATTTATATACTGGCTTAATATAATATTTTTCTTAACACTGTATTTAAAAAATATTGTACACGTCTTATTAGTTCTTTATATATTTATGAACAAGGACATTTTTGTCATTTAATAATAAAAAGACTTACTGTAGAAAACAAACAAATCAAGTCTTTGTTTTTTATTTTTCTCTCTTCGCTAAATATTATTATATTCTTATTATAAAAAGGTATTTTCAGATTAAGATAGATAAAAAAATTCCTACTAGTCTAAGATAAAAATAATATTTTTACCCTTATCCCGAATATGCACAGTGAACCATTGAGAGCAAAAATGTCTTTTTCTTTTCTTCTCACGTCTGGATCGACAATTTATTTTTTGCAAGTCCAAACCCAATTATTATGTCATTTTGTTTTTCTTATTTGTCAATTTGGAGAATAAAATTTAAAATTTTAAAAAAAAAATTGGTGAGTGAAAGAGAAGGTGAAGAAGAAAGAATAGCGACCTCTTTCTGTACTCTCTCTTGTCTCCTTTCCCTCTCTCTTTGGGAAAATATCATCTGTTTCTTCATTATCAGCCTCCATTTTCATCTTCTTATTTTATTGAGAATATTTTCACCTTTTCTTTAATTTCCACACAACAACCGTCACTACTGCTGCAAAGAGCAAGAGGAAAAGGAAAAGGAGAGAAAAAGAAAGAGACCACAGACACAGGACGAATTCTACAAGCTTTCATCAACACAGAAGAGAAAATGATGTCTGAGAGCTTTTCCTCCTTTCAGCTTCTGCAACTCTAAGAGGTTCGCTGCATCAGCTATATATATATATATATATAAGGCTCACAACAAGCACACCTGAAAATGATACTATATAATTTGTTCCCAGAATGATGTTATTTGTTTTGTTTATGAGTAATTGGTTCATAATTGAGCTAAAAGCCTGTTTTGATCAGGTGGAGATGAAGAGATTGATATGGGAATAGCAACACCACATCTACCGTCAATTTTCTCTCAGGCAAAGGTTCAGAATCAAATTCAGATTCCGGAGAAGTTCAATTCTGTAAATTCTATGTCCCAGGATTATCATCAGCAAGGTCTCTTCAGCTTCTCAAATGGGTTCGAGAGATCGGCAGTGACGACCCACCAAGAACAGCAGCAACAGCACCACGTAGCTCAGCAGATCCGGAGAGACAAACTCAGGGTCACAGGTGGGTACGAGCCGCCACATCCGCCGTTAGTGGGAATCGAAGAGGAAGAATCTGGTGCGCTTCCTGTCTATGAAACCGCAGGTATGTTATCCGAAATGTTCAATTTCACTCCAGCCGTCGCCGGTTCAACGGAATTATTAGCGCAGCGGCCGCCGGGTGACAACGAGTGGTATGGAGGGAGGCAAAGTGTGATTGGGGGACCGCTTGGAGAATCCAAGAGTCACAATAACCGTGACGGTTTGGGTCAACAGCATCAACAGATACCGAGTATTAATGCAGACGCCGCCGCGAACATGCACCTTTTTCTGCTGAATCCTCAGCCGAGATCGCCGTCTCCTGCTCCTCCTCCCGCTGCAACTTCTTCCACACTCCACATGTTGCTACCAAACCCATCCACTTCTCTTCAAGGGTTTCATGTATCCGGACCGGCGGCGGGTGCTTTCGGAGCCGGTTCTGTACTAACTCCACCACAATTCACATGGGTTCCTGGTAGCGCTGGTCATGAAGGAGGCAACACGAGTACCCAACTCAACAATCCAACTGAAATTGGGGGTACTGTGGTGGAAGGGCAAGGCCTTTCACTCTCGTTATCGTCGTCCTTGCAGCACTTAGAAGCGGCGAAAGCGGAAGAATTGAGGATGGGAGATGGTGGGTTACTGTATTACAATCAAGGAGGTGGTTCTTCTTCAACCCAATATCCGTTCAAGAATTTGGGTGGTCATCACCAACCATTGCATTTGCAAACCGGGGTGGGTCAAAACCACCAAGTTCATGTCGGGTTCGGTTCCTCCTTAGGAATGGTGAATGTTTTGAGGAATTCAAAGTACGTCAAACCAGCCCAAGAATTGTTAGAGGAATTTTGCAGTGTTGGGAGAGGTCATTTCAAGAACAACAAGTTTGGTAGAAACAACACAAACCCTAATTCTAATCCAGGTAGTAGTGGTGGTGGTGGCGGAGGCGGCGGGGACGGTGGTTCTTCTTCATCAACAAAAGATCTCCCTCCTTTATCAACAGCTGATCGGATTGAACATCAAAGGAGGAAGGTCAAACTTTTGTCCATGCTTGATGAGGCATGTACTAATCTTCTTCTCTCCTCCTCAAGAGTCAAGACCCATATCCATTTTTCTTTATTTACTAAAAAAAAAAAAAAAAAAGAAAGCCGGCTGGTGCAAGAGTTCAATAGGATTGGTTGAGGTTTGATTACGCATTTCCTTTAATTTTAATATTCAATATTGCATGTCGCTCTGACTAGGATTGGTGGGTGTGTATGAAGGTAGCTTGGATTGGAGGTCTCTGGTTTCGTGAAAAAAAAAAAATGAGAGAACACCATTAAGGGGCATGCGAACGTTCCTTTGAGCATGACCATTAGCCCACCATATTACGTAGCAAATTTACTGCTATCTGAGATCGTCCTCATCCATACACATCATAGTAAATGTTGTGGGAAATCCAGATATCATATTATAATTTTGGTTGACCCTAGAGTTGGTTTTCTTTTTCTTTCCATTTCTTGGCTGTATTAGAGAAAGATGCACAAGGATATTCTTTTTTCCCATTTAACAATCATTTCCACTGTACCAAGGCTTTGATTCATGCATTATTCTTTGGGCTTCCTTAAACAGCAACTAATAAAGTGTAGTGAAATTATTTTGAGGTCTGAAAATGGGAGATTTTTTTCTCAATGTCAAATCATGTCGTAACCGCTCTACCGCTGGCTTTCATTGATATAATGCCTTTTTCTTTGGTTGGTACATGAGGGTAGAGTCTTAATTATTTGTTTATTTTGGTGCAGGTGGATAGGAGGTACAACCATTACTGTGAACAGATGCAAATGGTGGTTAACTCATTTGATCTAGTGATGGGCTATGGTGCTGCGGTGCCTTACACCTCCCTTGCTCAGAAGGCTATGTCTCGGCATTTCAGGTGTCTGAAGGATGCAATTCAGGCACAATTGAAGCACAGTTGTGAGCTACTTGGGGATAAAGATAGTGCAGGGACTTCTGGCCTAACCAAAGGAGAGACTCCAAGGCTGAAGTTGTTGGAGCAAAGCTTGAGACAACAGAGAACCTTCCATCAAATGGGTATGATGGAACAGGAAGCTTGGAGACCCCAGAGAGGCCTACCGGAACGCTCAGTCAACATTTTGAGGGCTTGGCTTTTTGAACATTTTCTTCACCCGTACGTTACCTTTGCCTCTATTATCATAACAACCAGCACTAAAAATCTACATTTTCTTTTTGACGCAACTTAAGAAAATTGAGGTATCTCTTATGAAATAGTTTTTTTATTTTTCAAGTCTCTTCACTCGTCTTAAAATACAAACACAAAACAAAAAGTGAGATGACAAACAGAAACGTTATGAATTTAATGAAACTTTATTAAATAGGGTACAAAATCCAAATATTTTTTCTACTTTGTCATATATACTTTTTGATTGGGGATTAGAGATTTAGAGAAAACAGCAATGTAATGTCCTTGTCCTTGATTGTTGTCTACTCAGTAAAAAGCTGTTAGAAAAAGCCTTCATTTTCAGCCTCTGCTTTTTCCCTACTGATATAGTGCATGATAGCTTTACTTAGTACCTCACAAACCCAAAAATTTTATTTATTTCTCTCTTTTTTTAAAAAAAAAAAAACTTTGTTGAAACTTTATTATATAAAGCATAATTTGACACAGATGTTGAAAGACTGCAGCTGTACATGGCTGACGATCTTTCCTTCTTTTAGATTCTCACGCCCGTAGAGGAAAAGAAAAGAAGGCTCAATCCTCAATCCCATCTAAGGGGTGCATAGAGGGTTTTTTCTCTTTGTACGAATAGACCAGAACTCTGATGTCATTTTTGGGTCTTTTTCTCAGGTACCCAAGTGATGCAGATAAACATCTGTTGGCTCGACAGACTGGTTTATCGAGAAATCAGGTTGGTCCTCTGTACCCTTTTGCTTTTCTCTTTGGCAACAAAACAGTAAATGCAATGAAAGATTAAGCTTTATCTATAAAGAAAAATTGAAAAAAAAAATAATTGGACAGATGAAAAATGATGTTTTCATCTTTTTGGATCCAGGTGCCTCTGCGTTTTTTTAAAAACAAAACTTAACAAAAAGAAAAAAAACAAAAACAAAAACAAAACAAAATTTTAAGCTTCAGTTTATAAATTTTTTTTAAATTAATTATAATATTTAAAAATATTTATTTATAAATTAATTTTAATTTATTAAATAATAAATATTTTATTTTAGTAGTTATTAATTACTTTTAACAAATAAAATAAAATAATTATTAATTTAAGTACTTTTAACAGATTAAAAGGTGTCCATTAACCAAAGCCATAGGACAATGGACATAGATTCTGATTTCTGAATAGAAAGACTTTAATTCTGAATGGCGAAGAAAATATGCGGACAGATGCAAGTATAGGAGATTCTATTTTCATTTTTCTCTCTCATATCAAATGATATATATGACACCATTCAACCACACATAAGAAAACCATAAATTCATCTCCGTGCAACTTTTTTATTTTTAATTTTTTACTTTGTTATGCATGTTGAGATTCAGAAAACTGAAGACATCCCTAACACACGGGAAACAATTCCAACCATAAAATACATAAAGTTCATTTAGAAATCATACTTAAGTCCCACTCATCTTATAATTAAGATTGAATATTCTATAATTTTTAAAGGTATAACATTTTGAATTTCTAGATTCTCATTGAGATTTTAAGCCTAAGATAATAAAAAACCAATGAAAATGATAGATATACTATTTTGGATTCAATATATAGAGTCCAAATGTGAATGGTGTTTATTGAAAATGCATAATTCCTAATAGGGTTAGCTGAGGACCTCTTTATTTAAAAGGTGGACAAGGGGATAACCTCAATCAATAACTTTCCTTTTCCTTAAGTAGTTACTAGCCGAAGTTATAAAATTCAGGATTTGACTAAACTCTTTTAGACTTGTGTGCCTGCCATGCACCATTACACAATGGCAAGTTTCAATAACTTTTACTTCAGGATAGTGATCATATCCCTTCTAGTTATAGTTATGATTACGTAAAATTGTTAAGGTCATATAAAAGTAATATAATTATATTTAGTTTGAGTATTAAAAATAGTTAATAACAAATAAAATACATGATATTTATTATTTAATAGGTTAAAATCATATTATAAACTAATGCTTTTAAGAACTTTAACATTTATAAACATATAAAATTACACAAATTAAATATACATACAGTATTTTGTGTGACCCCAATAATTATTTTTGTGGCCAATAACATGGCCCCTCTCTTCTGCTGTGAGTTTCAATTCAGATTAGGTTAATTATTGCAGCATTTTGATGAACAGACAACGTATAGGATGTGTAATTAATTATCGCATAATTAAACTAGTTTTCTTTCGCCCTTTGTTTGCTGACACTGTAAAAGTGTAAGTTCCCAAAATGAAAGCCAAAGTAAATCCAAAACCAGCGGCCTTTGTCTTATGAAAGAACTCATTAACACCTTCACTGTGTCTTATAGGTATTCCTTGATTTATAGTAGTAAGTAGTACCATCAGTGATATTGGGCCAGTCATTAATGACCTTTAACAATGAGTAGTACTGCTATACCGTGTCAAGCAGCTTTTTATGTTCTTTCTTTCCCTTTTCTTTAATGTATAAATAATTTATCAAAAAATTTATTTTTTTATCTATACCATACTAAAATATAAATTAATTTAATAATTTTTATTTTACAATTTAATTTTATTTAAACAATAAAACAATAAATTCATAATTTAAATAAAAAACTGCAAACATAAAGCTCAAAACAGCTTTGAACAAACCTCAACATATATATAACTTTTTCGTCCATCCAGCAAAGTACTGTTTGAATACCACCCAATAGATAGCATTTTCTACATCTAGGAAAGTATGGGATTATGCATCGCTGACAATAGGTTATTAATTAAATATCACAATGGGCAAAATGTGTGACATCATTAATGGTTTATTTATTGCTTGGTGTTATTGGACCGGATTAGTTTTTCTTTGAGGAACGGACTGGATTGGATTAATATTCACATAAAAGTAAAATATAATCTATTTTACATAAACTTACTTCACTTAATCATTGATAGAAGAAGTGAACCTTTGATATTAAGTGTTCATCCCTTCTATCAATGCTTAACTTTTTTTTGTTAGTTTGCCTAAAACATTATATAATATATATATATAATGAGATTCATGTTTTACAATTTAAATATACATTAAAAATATAATTTATCATATAAATTTATTAAAATACCCTTAATAAAATAATATAAAAAATAATAGTATGTTATGTAAAACACTTTTTGATATATATATAAAGGGAAACAGTAGTAAGAGCATAACTAATGTGGAATATATATTTATATGTATAGAGTGGGGACATTTGTTTCTTTATTATTACCACTATTATATATAGTCTTCTCTTTAAATAAATGATTAAATCAATCATTCAATATTTTTAATGATAGAATATAGAGTGACTGGTTGTAAAGCAAATTAAAACCCTTTCATATTATCTTCTTATTTATAATTGATGATGAACTATAGAATAGTTCTTTTTTTTTTCTTTATCTTTTATTGTATGTCTCAAGTTTCAAATTAAAAACCTATAATCTTGTTGAAAGTTTAATTTTTTAGCAGTTGAGACAATCTTATATAGTGTATATTAATCTTATTTTTAGTAGTAGGTGAACTAGTGCATTAAAAAAAAAGAGCATAATCTAATCTTTAGTGAAAATAGATGGAATCTTTGTTCTTCTTTAATTTGTTAATAATTAGAGATAGAAATATCATTAATCTTTTCTTTGGTTGGGATTAATTAAATGCATGCAATGGCAAACTAATAACGTTAGTTTCTATTTCAGGTTTCAAATTGGTTCATAAATGCAAGGGTTAGGCTGTGGAAACCCATGGTGGAAGACATGTATCAGCAGGAGGCCAGAGAAGATGAAAAAGAGGATGACAAGAACCAAAATGTCAATAACAGCAGCAGCAGCAATAACAGTGGCCCTGTGCATACATCAACGCCTAATTCAGCAGCAGCAGCTCCCACTACAGCATCAACAACACCACCAGCAGGCAAAAGATCCGAAATCAATGCTGCCGAAAACGACCCTTCACTCTTTGCAATGAATAGACAATGCTTCTCGGAAAACCAAGCAAAGGACTCCACCACCACTATTATTACTTCCACCATTACCGCCACTGTTACTGACCAGGTGGCGCCACCCATCTCCCAGCCTTTCACGGCCACCCATGAATCAGACATGCACCATAGGATAGCTGTCACTGACGACATCTGTCGGCGAGGCAGCATGGCTGCAGCTCCAGCGGATTATGGGACCACCACCGCGAACAGTGACCTTGGATCTACCCTTATAAGGTTTGGGACCACAGCTGGTGATGTGTCCCTCACTCTAGGCCTACGCCATACCGGAAACATGCCTGAGAACAACTCTAATTCTTTCTCAGTTAGAGACTTTGGGGGCTGTTAATTATTCAATTAAACTCAATTTCTATATAGTGTTATTCTCTTATAAATAGAAAACACAATTTTTTTTTCCTTTTTTTTTTCTTTCTCTTGTTAAATTTAAGTAGAAAAACACATAGTAAACGTAGCATTAATTTAGCTAGCTAGTTGTATTATCATAGTCTTTTTCTTGAGGATTTTGTACCTTAATTTTACCTTTGCTAGCTAAAATAAGATGATATTCCTTTTGGGTTTGGACGATTAAGGTTGTCATCTAACTACTTTGTAGACAGACTATTTGTAATTCCTTTTTAGGCAATTTTAAGTTCATATTTCTCACATTAATATGGATTTAAGTCTTAAATTTAGCCTTATAAAACATATTTATTTATCACTAGATTCAACCAACACATACAGAATTTAATTTTGCATGGGCTGTTTATCTTCTTTCTTGGATAAATACTTCTGACGGTAATTTATATCAACTGCTGGACAAGCACACATGGCGGTGTAGAATGAATAGATTGATGGTGAGGTTTTGAAGGCATATATGTTCGTATATATTGTGATGAAAACAATAATTGTTACGTCATGCGTACAAGTAGAATTTTACTCGGTGTTTGTTGGTAGATTAGGTGATTTAGAGCTACACATAAAATTAATTAGTCGGTTATCTGTCAGCCGGTACTAGTCATTTGTTGCGAGACTGGTACAGCGAGCAAAGTTTTCTTCCAACAAAACAAGTAAAGCAAAGCAAAGCAGAACCAAGGTTCCTTAAAATCCAAAATAATAATTTGCAAATTAAGCAACAAGTACTCTTCACCTAATATGTTGCTTTTCCTTTGAGAAAAACCATAACCAACAGCCATATATAGAGAATTGGATTTTCAAAGTAGTTCTGCTGCACCCATCGATTCCATTTTATTCCTAGGTGCATAAAATTTCAGGTGAGAAAAGATATTGTAAAAACAGTATACTATATTTTATTTTTTACTGTAGAAGGACATTGTGAATGTGATATTCCAGCGGTTTTATCATTATGTAGCCGCCCGCAACAAAATACAACCCCCTCACCCCCATCAAGCTCAAACGTTTCATTTTCACACTCATAAGACTACCAAGCAGTGTCGTTTTCAGCTGCATTTTGCGTTTGTTTCTTGATTTGAGAGGTCCTTAGAATAAAACTTAGAAAGGTTTTTTTTTTTTTTTGTATGTGGTGATGCTAATTGCACAAAACGTTATCTCAAAGAGTTTGACAAAATCTTACCACAATTCACCTGATCAACTGATTTTCAATGTTTGTTAAACTCAACCTCTCAAAAATTAAATTTTAACCAAACAAAATTTCTATCAAAGTTGTAATTAAGTTAAATAGTTTCTTATTATTACAAATTATATATATTTTTTATCATAAATTATAGAAAAACAAAAATTAAGACATCATTTAAACAATCAATTCAACCCATATGATAAATTAAATATAAATAAAATCAATCTTATATCTCATTTACTTTATAACTAAAATTAAACGTTCTGGTGCTTCTCCTTCTCATGATTATATAGGACTATTTTGTATTTTGTAGTGTTACTGTTTCCAATGTAAACGACCATGAGACATCATAAGATGTTGGAGACTTGGAGCATTAAAATAAAGGTGGAGAAACTGTAAAGCCGAGAAAGGAGAGAAGAAAGGAAAGGAAAAACAATTTAAAAAAATCCCAATTTGGGGTTAATAAATGACTGACAAATGTTTTCTGGTCCATTTCTGATGGCATGTTGATAACACCTGGGCTGTACGTGATAGGGGGTGGAACCTACTGTGGAGATATTTAATGGGAATCCCATCATCTCCGTTTGTACCATGCAGAATGGTTTTTTTGTCCTGTTTGGACCATTTTAAATTACAGATTTTAATGTCAAACCAAAAAAAACTTGATGTGAAGGCTTTAAATCTTTGATTTTAATACAGGACCCCACAGTCCTTGGGGGTCTATGTGTAATAATATATAATTGTACAACTTGGGGGTGTGCCCCACCTAAGTACCCACAGTTGGCTACACTGAAAATTGGAAAAAATAGTAAAACACCGTTGGATACAATTCCAAGGCCTATCCACCAACCAGAAAATCCTGTGCCTGGGCTTTTGGACCCCACTAGTTTTTACTCCTGGGCCCATTTGGGCTACTGATTAGTGGAGTTGATGTTGCAGTTAGAGCCTACTAGGCTACTTCTCTGCTCCTCTATAGTCCATGACTCCATGCATCCAGCCCATATTGTCTTGGCTACAGCACCGTCCTTGGACCCATAACATCTTAAGAAAAATGATTTAGAAATATATATTATTTAAATAATTAATTTTTTTGTTTACTTAAAATCTATAATATCAAGTGCATTCACTTATTTAATAATATGTAAAAATTTTATTAAAAAAATAATACAAAAAATTATCCCTATATCATCACCTAACATTTTAATTTCGTATTCTCATATTAAAAAAAATTAAGTGTAACCCGTCAATTATAATGTGTTTTTTTTAAGAATTTAAATATTTATGTTAGATATTTTAAATTTATGTTTTGAGATAAATG